CTGTTCGTCTTTGGAACGCTCTGCCATATAAGATCAAAACTATCCGAAGTACATCGCACTTTAAAAATGAGCTCTTACATAATTTTTGCCCTCTAAATTGCTAAGATGCACGTACACATATATTTTTCTTTTTTCTAATACTTCTTTGTTCTTCTTCTCCTCCTTACACATTTTTACAACCTACGGTTTCCCTTAATGTTATTTTTAAGCTTTTATAATTAAATTAAGTTCAATAACTCATGGTTGTGTGTTTGATTATAATAAATAATAAATAATAAATGAAAATGTACATTTAGAGTAGCATTTAGAGGTAAATGCGCTAAATGTGCTTTTACGCGTAAGCAAAAACAGCCCATTATTCTTGTCACTTTGAAAAATAAAATTTTTAGCTACATAAACGTGAATTTAATAACACCAAGTAGTTTGCAAATTTTAGAAAATTTTCCGACCCATAGTAGGTAACTGTAATGTCGAGAACCTAATCGTAGTAATAAAAATCGAACATGCGGAAACTTTGGCTCGTAATTGTAGTCAGTATTTTCCGATTCTTGGCAACAGATCTGGGAAACAAGGCCCGTAGTTATAGTCAAAATTAAATCATCACTAAAGGTAATTGCAGCTTTTTTGACAGATATCCCATTGAAAATTATGTCAAAAAGCTGCAATTAACTTTAGAGTCGACTAATTTTGACTACAACCACGGGCCTTTATTTCCCAAATCCGTGTCTAAGGCAGTGATCGGACTTCTATCACATTGTGGTAGATCTGCCATTTTTTTGAGCATCTCCCACTCAAGGTCTGAAATCTACCACATATTCGCGTTTTTGAGTAGTTTTATTTTTGCTTGACATAATTTTCTTAATTTTAAGAGCAAAACTTGTCCAACACTAAACACGATATGGTAACAAGAATGATACAATACAAGATTCCGCATTCCCGGCGACGATGAAATTTCTCAAGTAAAAGTAAACAAACCCGAATGGGAGCAAAAAATAAACTGCAAAATAGTAAATTTTCTCAGTAGGCAATTTTTCGAAAGGAAACGCGGTTTTATTGTGTTAAATTGCAAAATATATGATTTATAAAAATAATTAATAGCGCAAGTGTTAAAAAACGGCGATTTTTGTGAAATAATTAGCAAATTTAAGTGCATCTAAGGTTTCTGAGGCGTTGTTTACTTTTACTTGAGAATTGTCAATATCGGCAAATCCCAATTAGCTGTTTTTGGAACGTGTCACAAATCTGGATCAATTTGTGATCAACTCTGTTTGTTTTGTTTCCTAATTACGTGAGGAAGTTTTAATTGACGGCACCGACAAATGAATATATACACTAACAAATGTTCGGTTATGGTTTAAACAATTCAAGTTTTAGTATTGAATTTTTGGTTTAAAATTATTTTTTGCTTTTCAGTAGGGTTTTTGCACATTATCTTCAGCGTGAGAATTTATCGTAATAGATACGGATCTGAATAAGCGACTGGAACACGGCTGTTTGTCAAAAGAATACGATTTCGAACTCGCGTAAATGTACATTTGCTAAATGCGATAGCATGAACTCTCTTCGAAAACATATGTTCGAAAGTGCTAAATGTTGCATTTTAAATGCAGCAAAAACGCTGCTTTATGGGCTGTTTTTGCTTACGCGTAAAAGCACATTTAGCGCATTTAGCTCTAAATGCTACTCTAAATGTACATTTATCCATACAAAATTCGTCACTTAAATGCAACTAAATGCAACTCCATTTTTGCATTTAGAATCTAAATGCTAAAAGCAACCCTGTGATCTTCCAAAATTTCCACGATTCGAACATGGTTTAATGAGAAGAAGTGGCAACATTGCTTTTTCGAGTATACAGTCGCTAGCTGCGTTTCAGTGATCGCCGATCGAGATTTCATTTATTATTTTACATTATTTGGATAAAGAAAAGTTACGCAAATTAAACATCGATATGATGCTGATAGAAATCTGGATTAATTTGTGATCGACTCTGTTTGTTTTGTTTCCTAATTAAGTGTGGAAATTATAATTGACAGCACCGACAAATGAATATATACACAAACAAATGTTTGGTTATGGTTAAAATAATTTAAGTTTTTGTATTGAATTTTCGGTTTAGAATTTATTTTTTCCTTTTCAGTAGGGATTTTTGGACATTATCTTTTCCGTGAGAATTTATCGTAATAGATACGGATCTGAATAAGCGACTGGAACACGGCTGTTTGTCAAAAGCATACGATTTCGAACTCGCGTAAATGTACATTTGCTAAATGCGATAGCATGAACACTCTTCGAAAACATATGTTCGAAAGTGCTAAATGTTGCATTTTAAATGCAGCAAAAACGCTGCATTAGATCTTTTATGGATACTTTAAAGGCTAAGGCAGTGGCAACACTGAATGCCATAGCATGAACGCTCACGATTGAGAGAATACAAAGGTTGCTCCGATCTCGGACCGCTATTCCTCTCTTAACGAATTTGACAGAATCGTTGTTTGCATGACGGCACACTTGTGCAACTTGTTTACGTTTTCCTTGCAACATTTTTTCTTCTTCTTCCATTCTTGCTCACGTTTTGGCATTCCGCTCTCGGAATTGCACCAGTGTGACGTCACACAAAAGTTATTCTCAAAAATCCTCTCTGATCGGCGCAATCTTGTATTCTATCATTCTTGATGAACGCACTTCGAAAACATATGTTTGAAAGTACTAAATGTTGCATTTTAAATGCTGCAAAAAAGCTGCATTAGCAAATCGCCTAGAATTCGAGGATAAATCAAGGGAACACCTAAAGAATACAGACCTTTGAGCTAGAGAAAAAAAAGTGGGCATGGCCCGCCCTCTTTTCCGGATTTTAACGGCATATTTTTTTTGGTGCAAATTGACAGGGGCGGCGAAAGGGGGGCTAAACGTGGAATTTTCAACATTTTCAAAAGCTTATATTTCGAAAACTATTGAACCGATTTTTTAAATATGGACAAGTTGGAAAGGTCATGGAAGGGCTTTTCATTCGATATATATATCTATGTATATAATGTATACACATTGGGAGAAAAGGTAAAAAACCAAATTATGGCAATTTTTTTATAAAAATGTATATTTTTCTTTAAAAATTACGTAATTAACTATATTAACAGATATGTTTATCAGAAAGAGCACAAAAATATCGTTAATTTGGTATATGACGTGTGGCAAAAAATTCTTGTGGACATCATATTTGACTAAATATTTATAAAAATATAGTTTTATATGAGAAAGGAAAAGCGCCGCAGGCGAAAATTTGGAATAAAAAATCGCGCGATAGAAAATCTTACTCTCTTTAGTTTTTACAAAAATTTAATTAAAATTAAAAAAATACTAAAGAAATATATACCTAAAAACCATTTTTTTTAATCACCTTATTTGTTATAAGATTGAGTTGTAG